CCGCCGAGCCCTGCGCCGCGCCCTGCTCGTGCCGCCGCGGCCTGCTGGACTGCAGCCGGCAGCGCCTGTCCAGCGGGCTGGGCCCGCGCAGGATTCCGCCGCTGCCCGCCGGCACTACGGGGCTGTAAGTGAGCGCGGCGGGGCTGCGGGGCCGGACAGGCGGCGGGCTGTGCGCAGGCCTTGGCCTGGCTGGGGGCGGGGGGTGCAGGCCTGGGGGCGGTGCGAGGCCCGGCCGACAGGGCTCGGGTCTCGGTGTCCTTATCTCTCTCTGTAACTCCCTTACAGGAGGGTGCACCTGGGTGGCGGTCGGGCTCTGTTCCCAGGTAACAAGCGATAAGACAAGAGGACATAGTCTTAAGCTGTGCCAGGGGAGGTTCAGGTTCGACATCTAGAGGAATGTCTTCACAGAAGGGTTGATTAGACATTGGAAGGGCCTGCCTAGGGAGGTGGTGGAGTCCCAATCTCTGGAGGTGTTCAAGGAACGACTGGACGTGGCACTTAGTGCCGTGGTGTGATTGACAAGGTGGTGTTTGGTCATAGGTTGGGCTCAGCGATCTTGGCGGTCTTTTCCAACCTAACTGATTCAGTGATTTTGTCTGCGGGATATTCGCACGGAGCCCGGAGCGTTGCGGGCAGAGCGACCCCGGCAGTGGTGCCTGGTTCGCCCTGGCCGCGGCCGAGGCGAAGCGGCTGCAGCGGCGCCGAGGAGAGAAAGAGGGCCTGGCTCCGAAGGCTCCGTGTGCCGAGGTCCCAGGGCGTATTTTCACGCTTGTCTTGCTCTGCTCTGTGATGGTAACAAGTGAGAGGACGGTGGAGCACGGGCGGGTTGTAGTTAGTAAGGCTAGTCAGTCCAGGATTTAAAGTTGTTTCAAGTTAGGCTTTAGGACATTGTCTTTTATGATTATGCTTGGAAGTGTTCCTTCAAGCACCAGCCTCAGCTGTGTTGCGGTACTTCCTGTTGCTTCTTGTTCCCTCTGCATCCCAGTACTGCTGTGCAACTCAGCAAAGCTCAGCCTCCCCTGCTGCTCATGCTGGGGGATCAGCCCACAGCTCAGGGGGGGATGTTCTGGGCTGTAGATGCACGTTTCTGTTGAGCTTCTCATCCACCAACATCCCCAAGTCCTTCCCAGAGCTGCCCTCAATCCATTCTGTGTCTGTCCTCTGTTGTGGCTTTCGGGATTTTGGCACATGAAGCATGTGTGATGTTTTTTCTTCGCTAGGACTACTTTAGCAGTTCTGAATCTAAATGAGCTATAATGTATACCAGCTGTTTAAAATTAATCAAAGCCTAATTTTTATCACATGATCAGTCCCTGATGAACTTTTCTCTATTAGTTCTGTGATACTATTTCAACTTGCAGTGAGGACTAAATATTCTTTTTCCTAACTCTCAAAATACTTGCAGGTGGTGCTTCCAGTGTGAGTATGTAGGTTGGCTGTATTTTCACTTTTTGTTTTTAATAAAGCCAGGAGAGCAGGACTTGGTTTTCATGATGGAAGTACTCGGGCAACTAACTTCATTTTTCCTCTGAAGTTATATATGTTTTGTGGCTGACCTGGTGGGTGATGAAAACCGTTGTGAAGTTAGGGAGTTAGAAAATATTGTTTTATATATCTGCCTCTTAACATTAATTTCTTTAGAGCAAGGAATGCCAGCCCTGTGTATAGGGGCAGAGGGGAGCACAATGCTGGTGGTCTCTGCCTCCCGTCCCATAGTAGTAAGTGTGTTTACATATCCTGGTAACCAGAGAGACAGTGAATAAAAGTAGTTCAGGTATCAGTTAATTAGTTCAGCAAGTTCTGTTTACAGTAGATTTTTTTGGGTGAGCTCAACTGGCTGCCTGCATTCTGTATCAACACGCCTATAGTGCCACAGTATGCTCAGCTTGGCCAAATTAAGATCATTCTTCATCATCCATAATCAATTTGGCATGTGTGTTCTGTTTTATTTACTTAAGAGATGAGTACCACTTAAGCTCAAAATGAATGTTGAGATGGTATTATATACAATACCAGATGAATCTCTAAAGTACAAATTTTACATGTTTGCTCTTTATTCTGCACAGCTTGGGCCTGCCGGTTACAATGCAAAGGCTGCTTAAAGGATGGGTTCTTTGGTTTTGGCTTTTCCAGACCAAGGGAATTGCATCTGGTTCTCCAGGACAGCAGGAATCTTAGCTGTGTAATTGAATGATCTCTAAACAGGGAAAATCAGCTAATGTATTTCATTCTGTGTTTTGTGATTCATTGGTCTGTTTGAAAAAGAAAAGCATCAGCAACAGAATGTAGATATAAATGTTAGAACCACTGTAAATATCAACTGTATCCAACTCCTTGAAAGAGGACTTAATTGTAATGAAAACTTTGTTGTAGTCCAGATCTGAGTAATAATAGAAAAATACTTTACTGTGCTTTCTGAATTAAAATCTTAATTTCTAACTCAGTAATTAGACAGTAGGGTTCTGGAGGGGATAGCTGGATGTTAGCACATCCTCGTGATCCAGGCCCATGTCTATCAGTGTTTAAGGGGAATTTGGACAGTGTCCTGAATAATTTTAACTTTTGGTCAGTCCTGATGTGGTCAGGCAGGTGGACTAGAAGGCTATTGTAGGTTCCCTACCTAGCTAAAGTATTTTATTGTATTATTCCTGAAAGCCTTAGAAAAGCCGAGTTTCAGCTTTCTTTGCGTATTTATCTTGTGTCCAAGATCTATGTCAGTGCGTGCTAGCTGTGCCTGACACACAGGTTGATCTGGCTCAGAACCCATGGCCTGGTTTTGCTCATCAGTGGAGTATCTGCACACCTTGAGGGGTGCGTTGTTACCTTCCACATCCATTGTCTCCTTCCTCCATCTGTTGCCCACCAGTTCCTTGGAAACAGCATGGCATAGTACTTCCCGCTCTGGTTAAACGCACTGCTCCAGGATCAGACTGCTCAGCACTTCCTGAGTGCCTGCATGTTTGAAAAATCCAGGAAAGTCTACTGCTGGGATTTGGGATCGTATCTCCCTCAACCTGTCTATGCCAGGCTCCTGTGGATGCCCAGAGGCTGAGGCTGAGCTGGGTTCAGGGGAATCTGGGCAGCTGGAGAGTGTCTGGAGCATTCCGCCCCCTGAGGTGGGAAGCCTGCTGAAGAGCAGCTGATACTTGGTTGGTTTTGTGTTTTTCCTAGTGTTTAGGGCTGGCTTAATTACCACATGTACTGAGGAAGCAGAGCTGCAGAAGAGTTCTGCAACTGGCTGCAGCTGTTCTCTTCTCCAGGTTCTCTTGATTCTTTTTTTTTTTTTTTTTTTTTTAATTGTTTCCAAACCCACACTGCTCTATCTGTATAATTTGCATCTTGGTGTAATTAAAAGAATACATTAACAACTGCCTGACTTGCCAGGACACCCAGGATTTTAATAATTCATTGCTAGAACGGAATCTTTACGCTGAACGTGAGTGAAAGTTAACTATAACTATACTATAGTCTGTCAATTGTCAGTCCATGTTGTCTCTTAGTAGGTTTTGTGCTTACAGATCAAAAATAGTCTGCCAGAGCTCAAGGAGTGTTTGGACAACGCTCTCAGGCACATGGTAGAATTTCGGGGTTGATCTGTTCTGGATCAGGAGTTGGACTTAATGATTTTTGTAGGATCAAGCTTGGCCCTCTGTGTGTTTGGAGTCAAGCACAGGCCCAAAGCTATTGCAGGAACAGAGGTCTAGGTGCTGTGGCTTGTCCAAATCTGGTTGTCAATGGGAATATTTTGAACTATACTCATTTACATTATAATATTAATTTTAATAGATAAATGTAGTTTTGGTTGCAAAGTGTGGTTTTGTCTCCTGCGTCAGCATAGCTGCTGCCTGCATGATAATCTTAAAACTAACTATAATAAATACGTACAATGTTACTGCAACAATGATGAAAGAATCAGTGATACAGGACCACACCAGTGGAGTTCATAGGGAGGGGAACAGCTTTGCTGAAACTAGCTTGTTGTAGCTCTCTCCTTGACATCAGAATTGGAAATGGGGAGGGAAGCATGGTGCCTTGCTGCCAGACTAGAACAACTAGCTAGCATAGAATATCTTGAGCTAGAAGAGACTCACAAGAATCATGGAGTCCAACTCCTGGCCCTGCATAGGACACCCCAAGAACATTGTCCAAATGCTCCTTGAGCTCTGGCAGCCTTGGTGCCTTGACCGCTCCCCTGGGGAGCCTGTTCAGTGTCTGACCAGTCACTTTCCAGTCACCAACCAGTCACTGACCAGTCTTTTCCTGATATCCGGCCTAATCCTCCTCTGACACAGCTCCAGCTGTTCCCTTGGGTCACTGCTCAGAGAGAGCAGAGATCAGAGCTGCCACTTGCGAGGCAGCTGCAGACCCTGGTGAGTCCTGACCTCTTCATATCCGTGCTAAACAAGCTGCATGACCTCAGCAACTCCTTGTATGGCCCCTTTTGACCCTTCACCATCTTCATAGCTCAGAGACATCAGCTGTGGCCAGTTATTCCTGCACTCACCTACAGATTTCTGACTGTGGTGAGGGCACCAGTCTTATTCTGCAAGCATAGTGGCAGTGTCAGGTCTGTTCAGACACAACAACTCAGGCTTTTGGCATGAGCTTTGGGAGATTCACCTCTGTGCTGGACTTGTGCCAGCAAAATGTCACACAGGTGAGTTGGTTTCGCCTTTTGGACTGGCATCTGCCTATCTGGTGTGGCTGGGACCATGTTTCTATATACACAAATGTGATTTTTTTGGTTCTTCTTTGACTCATGTCATGACTAGAGGCAGCCTGTGCTCAGAAATGGACCCATTGCATTTATGCACCAAGTCTAAGGCAAAAGTAAAATAACTTTGTGAAGTTATAGCAATGCACCAACACCCAGTGTGAGCATTAAAGCTGGATTTAATGACTCTTGCCCATTGAAAGAGTCCAATTCCTGCATTTGATTCCTATAAGTAAAACCAACTGGTGCTAAAGCATCTGCCTGTAAGATTCCCAGCCTCAGCATTCTCTCCACTCCATCTTGTTCGGGAATTTTGTGTATGTTGTTCCTTTAAAATAAACCCGCCTTGGCTGGTCAGCATCTTTGGAAAGCTGAGAAAATGGTGGATCATGCTACACGAAGCAGTTCAATAACGGGTGTTTCGTAAGAAATTACTCTCATGTCCCTGCAAAGTTTTTTCTTCTTGCGGTGGACAGGTGTTGTTAATAAAGCTCTGGGTTAAAGCAAAAATTCTCTGGTCAGGTACAATCTTCCTATCAAGTAGCTTTAACAGAAGTTTTTTGATTCAAGCAGAGAAGTAGAACTGTTTAGACTTTAATTGTGAGTGACCACTAGAACAAGCTCTTTAGTGAAGGAGCAGTTGTATAAAATACATAAATACAGTTTCAAACTTGAGATTGCATCAAGCATACATGTTTTGGGTTTGTTGAGATTTTTTTTATTATTCTTCCAGGAGCTAAATCACCTTTTTTCCCCTGTTCTCTAGCGATCTAAGTCATAATCATTTATTATCATCCAACTGGAGCATTGATTTGTCTGTCCATACTCTCCAAGAAGTGTAAGTTGTTTTTTATGAGGATAAAGTCTCAAGATATCCTACCTAATTCTAATTAGAATGTTTTATTGCATGTCAAGATACCTGCAGAAATAGTCAGTGCAAGTTAATTAAATTAATTTAATTAAAAGTGGATACTCCATGTTGACAGCATATTTCATGTATAAAACTGTTGTGTTGTGAGCAGAAATCTTTCCTGTGAAAAGTCAGAAGACCAATATTTTTAAAGAGGATTGAGGTTATTTGCTATAGCTGCTTTTAAATGAAGAAGTAATAATATCCATGAAAATGAGAAGCTAGCATATTTCACTGTTCAAATTGTTCAAATTATTAGTATTTAAGCTCTTGGGGAATCTTTTTTGTCAACTACTAGGTATTATTAATACAGTAAAATTGTTAAATGCATTGAGATGAATTATTTGTACTGTGTACGGGAGGATTTTTCTCCTCTTTGAAGTGTAAATAATTTTTTTTGCCCTCTATTTAAGGAAAATGAATTACAATGAGCTAAGTGAAATTCCGTATTTTGGAGAAACAACTTCCAATATAACTCTTCTCTCATTGTAAGTAATAGCTCATCTGCCTTCTTGTTTAACAAATTGAAGAACCATGTTAGAGTTCTGCTATCACATTGTAAGAAAGCATCTTTTTTCTTGAAATATTGCTCAAGTAAAGAGCATCAGGGGATATGTAAGCACTCTTTAAAGAAGTACAAATCAGTTAGACAATCAAGTCACCCTAAATTACCAGTAAAATGCAGTCAACCAAGGCAGGCAGCTTTGAGGGGGTGGGATTCAGTCCAGGTATGATACTTCCCACAAGGACCAGCTCAGCTATAGGCTTCAGAATTTGAATCTGTTCATATGTCACAGTGGCAAATAGCTCTTGGATTTGCAGTATTGCTTTAGGAATTAACACTTTTGAAAGCATGTGGTGCATGCCCCATTCATGAAGCTCACTAGCACTGTTGATATGCAGAATCCTTTTACTGTTTAAGCTGTGCAACTGGAAGGATGAGATGTTATAGTAATCATATTTATTGCTGATTTTTTCAGGGTGCACAATACCATTCCAGAAATAAATGCTGAGCAACTCCAGGTTTACCTTTCATTGGAAAATTTAGATCTTAGTTCTAATCTTATCTCAGAAATTAAAGCCTCTTCCTTTCCACGAATGCAACTGAAGTACCTGTAAGTATGAGTGATATACTGTCTCTGGGATTCCTGGCTCTACAATGATGATGTTGGAGACCTCATTTACTCTTAAATTAGTGTTTTAAAGTTGGCATCCTTACACAACTTTGAACTGGTAGCTGTGCTTTTAATGGAGCTACAGATATCCCTGAAATAAAATAGTTTTCATACCATTCTGTATTGTATTTTCCCAAATAACATGCTGTTGTCAGAATGCAGGTACCTAAGCCATCAGGGACAGGGAATAATAATTTCTGCCCTGTTTGTTCTGCCCTGTGGACACTGTGTTAACCACTTAACATGGATTTATCTGAAACATGGATCTGCAGTAAAAATTCTCACACTGATACCTTTGGGGAAAAGGATTTAGCTTGGTATCCCAGAATTCAGATTTCTCATGGGACTTCACAGGGGTCTGGGGTTCTGTTAATCAGTGGTTGCTCTGAGGTGCTTGTGCCATTGTGTTCATCAAATTCTCTATGTTCTAAAAGGCCTCTTTCCTTTTTCCTTCCTTAGGAATCTGAGTAACAACAGAATAACTACTCTAGAAGCAGGTTGCCTTGATAACTTATCTAGCTCACTAATGGTGATAAAACTGAACAGAAATAGGATTAGTATGATTCCACCGAAGATCTTCAGATTGCCTCATGTGCAGTTTCTGTAAGTAACAGCCTTGAAAACATCAAAACAGCATTTACAGCTGAGCTATTAATCTCAGCATGTTCTTGACTTTCACACAGTGGTGCTTGTTGCAAGGTGTCTTAATATTTGAATGTCATCTTTATGGAAGGGAACTGAAAAGGAACCGGATTAAAATAGTGGAAAGTCTTACATTCCAAGGATTGGAATCCTTAAAATCCTTGAAGATGCAGCGCAATGGGATAAGCAGACTAATGGATGGAGCATTCTTTGGCCTGGGTAATATTGAGGAATTGTGAGTATACCTGGTTGTGGAATTTTTTTAGCAAAAAGGAAATGGCCCTGGAGAGTTGTGTCCCTGTATGGTTTCTCTTACATCGTAGCTGTGCTGAGATATTGATGGAATCATAGGAAAAGAGTATTTTCCCATTATTTTTATGTCATGTCTGGTTACTTCAGAAGTGGAAAGATACACTTCGCCATTCCTAGAAGTGTTCAAGGCCAGGTAGAATAGGGCTGAATAGAGCTACCTGGTCTAGCGGAAGGTGTCCCTGCCCATGACAGGGAGTTGGAATTGGATGATCTTTGAGGTCCTTTCCACCAGAAACCAGTCTTGTGATTCCATTATATTGGTCCTCTTTCCAGCTTCTTCCCACATGGTGATCAGGAATGTTTGCCTCTGTAGCTGCTTTTTGCTGGTTTTCATTTGCATAACGTGGGGTTGTTCTTTCCTCTGTGACTTTGACAGTATGAGCACAAGGATGTATGATGCAATGTTAGCAAAATACTTATTTTTTAGAAGTTATTTTTGAGAATAGAGATTATAATTTTGTTTCTGCCACTGGATCCCTGAAGCTGGTGTTGAGTTACTCAGTTCTTCATATACTTTAGTTCATTTTTTTTTTTTTCATTTCAATGGGATTGAAAGAATCATGCATTTTGTGTTGTTTATGGCTGAAAGTTAGTAAATCATTCTGAGATCCACAAGGTGAAATTTTGTAAGTAGATGTTTCATTGGTTATCTATTTGGCAAATGTGTTTTCCTTCTAATTTATTAGAGAACTGGAACATAATAACTTAACAGAAGTAAACAAGGGCTGGCTGTATGGGCTGCGGACATTGCAACAACTCTATGTTAGCCAGAATGCCATCACCAGGATCAGCCCAGATGCATGGGAATTCTGCCAAAGACTTGCTGAGCTGTAAGTCCTGGGCTGCTATTCATTGGGGATTTTTGGAATGTTGCAAATATTGATTGGCAAGAATGAGGACTTCCTTTGGTAATTCAATTTTCTTGCTAGGCCTGTGGTAATGATATATTTTAATTATAAGTATTCTGTCAGAGAAATTAGAACACAATAGTTAATCAAGTCAGATAGTGTCTTAATAATTAATCCCCCTGCTTGCCTTTAAAGTGTGTGTTGAATGTTTCCAGAGACTTGTCATACAATCAGCTCACTCGCCTCAAGGAATCTGCCTTTGTGGGACTTGGCTTTTTGGAGAAGCTAAACCTGGGGGACAATCACATTAATCACATTGCTGATGGTGTTTTTAGAGGTCTGACAAATCTTCAAACCTTGTAAGTACAGAAAACTTCAAACAGAAATCTCAGTTTAAAGCAATATTAATTTAAGTGGAGCTTTTGGAAGTAGAGACAATGGATACTGCACTATGGAAGCCTGAGATTATTGTTGGTGCTGTCCTGCCTGCAGGTGTGGTAGGTCTGATAATCTCCTGGCTTACCAAGAAGACAGAATTCCAGCCCAGCTAAAACAAACCAACCACTCAATATTAGAGGTGGTAAGAAACAGTGACTTGGTGATGTTGAGTGCTCAGATGTGTGTCCTGCCAGTTCTGAGAGGTGTGGGTACCTTGTGTATCCTGTTGTGGAGCAAATAGCCTGGAGCTCTTTATTCTTAGAGGGTTTCCTTAGGTTTGGAACCTCAGAAACCAAGGACTGAGCCCTTTAGTGTTTTAGAAGGCATGGTTTAGCCCATCATGCTCATGTGCTGACCACACATAACATAACAGTGGGTGTAGAGTTGCTTCTTGCTGTTGAAGGCGCAGCTTTGCACTTGCCAGCACCTTTTGTGGCAGATCTTGGATATTTCTGAAAAGACCCAGTCCTGTCCCAAGTAGATCTGAACAGTTGTAATTATCGTAAACAACAGTACTTGAAAAAGGAGTAAAAATTTATAACTCCTCTGTCACTTCATTAAATAAATGCTTAAATAAGCAAACTCACCAGAGAGATTTATGCAAGCAGTCATATTCTGTTAACCTTAATGCAACCTTTTAATGGAATAATGAAACATAATTTCTTAGATTTAGAGTAGCATGAAAAAGAACAAGAGCAGATTAATTAGTAGGTTTTCCTGGGCTCTCAGGAGTGTCAACAGTGAGGGCCTGGCCCTTTGCTTTGGGACTGGAATGTGCAGGATGGAGAGCAGTGGTGATTAACAAGCCTCCAAGCATTAGTGCCCAGCCATGCATGAGGAGCCAACTTCTCTCTCACACAATGAGGGGCTTTTCTTTTGGGCTGCTCACTTGTTTTGCTGAGTGGTCTGAGTAGTGGAGTGTAAAAATACTTCAAAAAACAAGAGATACTGTGTTTTAGTTCCATTGTTGGTTGTGTGCTGGTTGTTTGGTGCTACGGCTGGTGTACATATTTCTGTACATTCAGCTCCTGCCAGTCTGCAGTGTAGGACAATAAAGTGTAAAACTGTACATTAACTGCAAGTTATGATTGCAGATGTATCTAAGAATAGCACTGAAGTTTTGAAGATTTATGTATTATCACATTATTTACTTCATAATACCGTGAGCAGTTTGGCATTTGTATTCTCCAGCATTCACAGTCTAACATTCTGAAGTAGACCTTGAGATAATTCAAGAAACGTGTTTTAAATCACAAGAATTAGCAAATTGAAAATAAACTTGGCATAATATTCATATAGTCATTATTAGCTCAGGTCCATGTTGGGTACCTTAGCTTGAGTAATTTTCAAAGAGGTAAATATTTAATGTGAGCAAGTTTCAAGGCCATATTTGTTCAGACCTTGTGATGCATGAAATACTGAATTCTTTTCTTTTTGTCCTAAACTTGGAAGTGTATAAATACAAATTGTGGAAGTGACTTCTGTGTGTGGTTTTATCAAGACTTCTATATCAAAGTATGAAAAACAAGAAAATTGTGTGTTACCACTGATGGTATCCTGGAGATTGGTCCTAGTCTCTTTCATGATGGTGTTCTACACAGTTTACAGTCTCACCTAATGGGAAAGTAGAGACTTCATTTTTCCCTCATTAGCACAGGGAAAGAGGTGTTTATACAAGTGATATATACAGTTGCCTGTATATGCAGCTAGTTTTGTGTCAGTTGACTTATTTGGAAGCGTCATCTAGCTGTTACATAGAATATCTGGTGAAACACAGGGCAGACTATTTTTTATTAGCATGATTTCCTTTAAATACACTCCTCTCTGTGCGTGGTGGTATCAAAGCAGATGCTCTGGGCTCAGTCCATGCCATTCAGGATAACAATGCAACTGAATTTATTTCATCTTATCTCTGAAGACTATTTAATCCTCTCCAAACTGTATTGTTCTACTGCTTTTGCTGTTTAGACCTCTCTTCTCCATGAAGGCTTGAAGTGTTGTGCTGAGGTCAATCAGAAATCCCATTAGCTGATAACGAGATTTGTGAGCAGAATATCAACTTAATTTTGAAAAGCCACCACAGTGTGCCTGGCAGGCCTACGCTGTAACCTGGATGTAATCCCTTAATATGCTAATGCTGGTATAAGCCTGCTACTCGTGAAGATTAATGCTGCTTGTGCATTGGTTATTCTCTTTCATGAACCAACTTGCCTTCAGGAGCCTCTCCCAGCTCCTGGCAAATAGTCCATCACATGAAAAGTGCTGGTCAGACCGGGGTTTTCCTTAAATGCCACATCAAGAAGTTGTGCTGCAGAATTTGTTTGTGGTGCTGACTGCAACACTTACCATGAGCAGTTTTCCCTTTTGCCCCTCTGAAGTGAGAAATTCATCTCCTGACAAGCTTAGTTTTGTAAAAGATTTGAGACCTTCAAGGTAATGCTGTGCCAGAGCTCCGTATCTGGCTGTCTTCCCCAGCTCACCGTTAGCCCTGGTCATGATGATGCTCCAAGGCTTCTTTCTAAGAAATGTCTTCTCCTGCAGGGACTTGCGGAACAATGAGATCTCCTGGGCCATAGAAGATGCAAATGAAGCTTTTGTGGGACTCACCAGGCTGGATAAATTGTATGTATTATAAATTAAGGGAACAATAGCACTTCCCAGGCATGCAGAGAGGGAGAGTGCAAAATTTTAAGTAATTGTAAATTAATGACACAAGGCAGAAATCCTTTCTCAGTGTTTCCACTTATGTGCCACAAGCTCTTGATGTAGTCCTGGGTTCCTTGTTCAGGTGCATTGGATCCATGTAGCACTGCATTTCCTTACAGCACCAATTTGATTAGGATTGAAGGATTAAGCATAAGTATTTGACTTCATTTATTATTGAGTACCTCACTGACCTCTCTGTGATGACTGTCACTTTTTGTGCTTCTTTGGTTTGGGTAAAAGTTACTACTTATCAAAAACCAGCCCCAAAATGCAAAGTATTTTTGAACAAATTCAAAACACTATTGCATTAAGAAGCGTCTTGGTACTTAGACTGTGCACTTTTCATCCAGTGCTACCTGCTTTGATGGAAGCTCCATCCTGTGCAGTTACAAACGTTGCTTATAACAAATAGCCTGGTGTGAGGGCACAGTCCAGGAAGTTGTGTGGTGGTGTCAGGTTGGTATTAGAAAGTTACTGCTTCACTCCCAAGTCCTACTTATTGCTGTTTCATCCTCCTAACTTAAATTATCTTCTGACACAGTTCTAGCCCAGATCTCTTAAGTTGAAGGTAGAAATGGAGCCCTGTTCTTGGGAAAATCAGTTGAGCCTTTAATCTAAAAAAAGTAGTATTTAGTCCTTTATCTCAGCTAAAATTAGAAAAAAAAATGTAGTTAAACATCATAGGGAGCTTATTTTGGGTCTTATTTGTGGACTCATATTGACATTCAGACTGGTTTCTGGACCTTTATTTTCAGAATCTTGCAAGGAAACCAAATTAAGACAATTACCAAAAAAGCATTCTCTGGTCTTGAAGGACTTGAATATCTGTAAGTATTTGAATTTGTAGAACTCCTCATTATTTGTCAATTTCAGTCTTGTGTTCTCTGTGGGATTTTCAAGAACTTGACTGAAGGCAGCATATGAAATCACGCTGACTCATTATTGTGCGCTTTCCTTAACTTACAGAGATTTAAGCAACAATGCAATAATGTCCATCCAAGAAAATGCCTTTGCCCAGGCTCAGCTGAAGGAGCTGTAAGTTCATTACAATTATTTAGAGATTCTTTACAAGCCCTACCTTGGAAAGAATTCTTCAGCTATTGTAGGGTTGTTTGAAGTTGTCTGAAGTGTGTCTGCTTTCATTGTGAAATATTTGCAGCAATGCCGGTAAATTACAGACTCAAAGATGGTAGCAGAATGTTTAGATTTAAGGTTTGATAAAATTTTCACCTGCATTTCCTTAGTTGCAATTAGTAGGAATTAACTTTTTCCTGCTGTACTGAACCATTAAGCTTTTCCTGTCCTATGATTTTGCAGCAAGCTCAGCACTGGATATAGACAGTGAGCAAAACAATTCATTAGGAATCTCTCAGGGGGATTAGCAAACCCTGTGTTTTTTCTTCCTGTTTTGGGGGGCTAGGGAAAGGCTTTAAAATTCACAGCTAGACAAGATTTTGTATGTGCTCAGAAGATGTTTAAGCTGGTAGGGTATCTTGTGGTCTTCAGACATCTGAAGTAGTATAATGTGAAGTGACCTTCACACCCAAGACTAATCCTACTGTAATGCAGTCCTTTCTGTGAGATAAAGTCTCTGACTGTTGTAATCTGGTCTAAAACTGTTACTCCATTAGTTAACTTTGGCCAGATGAAGTTAGTCTGCAAGATCTGCCACTGTGAGGAGACAATTTCAGGTGTTAAAGACTTTTGTTGCCTCCTCTGATGTATTTTAAAGGTGATGAGTCATTGATATGTACAGGCAAAGAGCAGGATGGAATCCTGGCTTATTTGGTGCCTCTTTTCTCCCATGACTGGCTTCATCTTAGGGCAGATCACTTCTTGTTAAATGCTGGACTGTCTCAAGTCAGTCATACTCATACTTGGAGTACTTGGAGCCCTCCAGTGTCTTGAAGTCAGTTCAGAAGTGGCATCTGACACTCTAGGGAATGAGTAGTAATACCTGAGAAACTTTAAAAGCAGGCGGTAGGAAAGAAGAGACACATCATTTTTTCCTGTTGATAGGTTTTCTGTGGAGCAGAGAAAACAAGCTGCAGTTGATACCTGTATGAAACAAATCACTTTTGGCCTTAAATATTTATCAACTGGTATTAAGAATTGAAGCTTCAGCTCATTTCATAATGGCAGTTGTGTTCAGTTTGAAACATGGAGCTGCTCTGCAATGTTATGTTCCTTTTAATTGCTTTAAAGAGGGATAATTATGAAGATAATTGTGAAGACAGGCTTAGTGGTTTTGGGATTGTTTTTTTAGAAACTTTGAGTTTATATTCTCCAGGGTTAAAATGAAATGCAAGGTTTTAATGCTGACATATAGGGACTGATTCTGGCATAAATAAGTAAGATTTTATAATAAATACCCATATGTATAAAATAATAGTGTAAATACGGTGTTTTGCTATGTGTATGCTTTAAGTTGTTTTGTTGCGTGAAATCACATGTATGCGTGTGAAATAAACTTCACTCACCCTTTTGTTTTGCCCTGTTTCTGCAGAGTGTTGAACACAAGCAGTTTGCTTTGTGACTGCCAGTTGAAATGGCTGCCCCAGTGGCTCAGTGAGAGCCATTTGCTGCAGGCTGTCAGTGTCAGCTGTGCTCACCCTGAGTGGCTGGCAGGACAAAGCCTTCTCAGTGTGGACCCTGATGACTTTGTTTGTGGTTGGTATTTTTAGTGACTTTTTATGCAAAAGCACAAGTCTTGTAGCTGAAATCAAGCTGTAGTGCTGGGGAGGTACTTGGTCCTGGCCATGGTGCTCATGTGGGCCCATGTACATCACTGAGTCTGCTGTAAGTTTGGGGCTTAATTCTGCATCTCATCATTCTGTTTTGTGGTGTTTGAGCACTGAAATTAACCCAGGGTGTAGTGCTGTTGGGCATGGTTTTTTATTTAGCTTACTCATAAAAATGGATTCTGCTTCCATTCTCCCTGCTTTTGACTACCTTTGGCTTTGTAAGGTCTGTTTGACACTTTCTTCCTGTTTCTTGCCCATACTAGCAGAATATCATAGAATCATAAAATAATTTGGGTCAGAAAGGACCTTAAAGGTCATCCAGTTCCACCCACTGACATAGCCAGGGACACCTTCCACGAGAACAGGTTGCTCCAAGCCCTGGCCAACCTGGCCATGAGCTCTTCCAGGAATGGGGCGGCCACAGCTTCTCTGGGCAAAAATTAGAGTAGTTCAGGCTCTGGCACATTTTCTGGTGCTCCATATCTGTGATGTTTATTGTGTTCTCAAACTCTTTGCCCAGAGTCTGGGTGAAGTCTGTGGCAGGCCTGGAACTAGTCTGATGTTTCCTTTTCCTGGTGAGCAGTCTTATAACAGTTATTTGAGTATATGCGATTCTTTCATTGCTTTGGTGGCAAAGACTAAAATAATAATCATGTAGGTGCACATACCCATTTCTCCACTCCAGCACCACCACAGTGGCATCTGACAGAGCTCTGCATGTGACTATGAGAGTGTCTTTGCTGAAATAATGGATATGGAAATCAGTTTCATTGAGTGGGATGAGATAGTGAACTGCCAGCTTGTTATGCTTTGTGCTTGTAGAACTTCAAGGCTCTTCAGGATATTTAAACTATCTGAAAGTCTCAGTCCTTCATAAAATGGCCTGGCTCTTCAGCTAAGCAGGGTTTTTGAGTGTGATCTTAACAAAGGAATGAATTATCAGATAGTGGGACAAAAGGCAGGGCTGCTCAGCACTACACTTCCACACTGATTGTTTTCAATCCTGATTCTTCTGCCTCCTTCACAGTTTGATTTCCAGCTCAAAACAGCTGAATTTGTGCACCTCAAGCATGACATCTGTTCTCAAAGTTTCAGTTTTGCTTACATTGTCTTTTGAGTGACTTTTCTTGCAATATTAATTCAAGTTTAAGAGGAAAGTAGCTAATCTTGGTGCTTTACTTTTCAGATAATTTCCCTAAACCGCAGATCAGAGTCCACCCAGAGACCACAGTGGCCCTGCGAGGCACAAATGTGACCCTGATGTGCGCTGCTGTGAGCAGTAGTGATTCACCCATGGCCACGGCCTGGCGCAAAGACAGCGAGGTCCTCTATGATGCAGAGGTTGAGAATTTTGCCAGGTACCAGCAGCAAAGTGGGGAGGTGCTGGAATACACCACTGTCCTGCACCTCTTCAATGTGAATTTCACTGATGAAGGGAAGTACCAGTGCATTGTCACCAATCACTTTGGCTCCAATTATTCCAACAAAGCCAAGCTGACTGTTAATGGTAAGTGATAATGGTAAAAAAGGAGAAACACTCTGAACCCAAAATTTCATTTAAGTAGCTACAAATCTATATTTCACTAAAGCTGGTCCAAAATAGTCTTGCAAATATCAGTGGGATTTAGAAGTATCACACATCATTTTATAAAGCTGGAAAGAAGAGATTTTTTTTTTTTTGTGGTTGAAAAGCTTCTGTTCACTTTTTGAAAGTGGCAGTTATCTCCTGTGCTTTATTAGAACACAATTAGTTGTTCATCTAGTTAATTTGAGATAGAATTCTTTCAACTAATAGTTCCCTCTACTGTCTCGTCAGAACTCAGCACCTTTCCCACATGTTTGTAAAACTGGGGGAGGCTCATCTGAAAATAAGTGGCAGAAACTCTGAAAAGTCAAAATAGAAGTATTTTTTTATTTTTAGCCATCATGAGTCTGTTTATTTTGAGGGAAGGGGAGGTAAGAAGACAATGTTCACATCAGTCAGTAGACCACTGATCCCCACAGCACCTCAGAGCAGAGGTGAGGAGATGGAAGATTACCTTCCGTGTTAGCAGGGAAGGAAAATGTGCCAAAGACTTTTCCCTGGATTCTTCCCATGAGAAATCATCTTCACATCATCTTAGAGGAACTTAATGGCTTTAAACTGAAATAGAGTAGGTTTGCATGAAGAATTTTCACCCAGCGAGGGTGGCAAAGCCATGGCACAGATTGCCCAGAGAAGCTGTGGCTGCTCCTCCATCCATGGCCAGGCTGGACAGTGCTTGGGGCAACCTGGGAGAGTGGGAGGTGTCCTTGCCCTTGGGCATGTATTGTCTTAAGGGTCCCTTCCAACCGGAAGCATTCCGTGATTCTATGAACACTGTTGATACTGTATTTACATTTTGGGAGAAAGGCTCTTAGAAATAACCACTGGAAATCTGTGCAGTTCTTCAGAAGAATCTGTTCCTCTCTGTTACAGAGTGTTTCATATATGTTTTCAAATTTCTCTCTGCTGTGGAGCTTTTGCTACATTTTACCTGACACTGAAAATGCTGATTCGATGTTCCCTTTGATCCAGAGCTCCCTTCTTTCCTGAAAACTCCCATGGATCTCACTATCCGCACTGGGGCAATGGCCCGTCTGGAGTGTGCTGCCGAGGGCCACCCCCCGCCACAGATCTCCTGGCAGAAAGATGGTGGGACAGACTTCCCTGCTGCAAGAGAGAGGAGGATGCACGTCATGCCAGAGGACGATGTGTTCTTCATTGCAAACGTGAAGATGGAAGACATGGGGATCTACAGCTGCATGGCCCAGAACATCGCAGGGGGACTTTCAGCCAATGCTACCCTGACTGTGCTGGGTAAGTGTGACTGGCCTGTGCTGGCAGATGGATCCCTGCACATCTGCAGTGGAAGTGTAGCTTAGCTATAAGTAACAAGTTGAAATGGTGGAGAATGAAGTTAAAATATGAAGAGCAGCACTTGGTGTGACGTTTACACAGTGAAGCTTTAGAAGCTGAGTTGCAGAGCTACCCAGTGGAATTGGAGTTAGTGTGATCTTTGCAGGGAGCTGAGGGGCATATCTTAGTCCAGCAGTGTAGATTAGGCAAGTAATTTGTGTTGCCTTAGAGCAAATTTTGTCACAGGTAACAAACTTGCCACAAAGAAGACCAGTGGGACCTTGGGATGCATGAGAAAGAGCGTTGCCAGCAGGTCAGGAAGGTGATCCTGCCCCTCTGCTCAGCCCTAGTGAGGCACATCTGGAGTGCTGTGTCCAGTTCTGGGCTCCTCAGGACAAGGGGGATGCAGAGTTCCTGGAGCAAGTCCAGCAGAAGCTACAGAGATGATGAAGTGACTGGAGCATCATTCTTACAAGGAAATGGTGAATCTTAGAGGCCTTTTCCAACCTAAATGATTTCATGATTCTGAAAGTTCTGAGAGAACTGGGCTTGTTCAACCTTGAGAAAGAACAGCTGGGAGGGGCCCTCATCAATGTGTGTCCATGTCTGCAGGGAGGGGTCAGAGGATGCACCTGGCTGTGCTTGGTGGTGCTCAGCAATGGGACAAGAGGCCATGGGCAGAAACAGATGCACAGCAAGTTCTGCATGAATATGAGGAAGAACTTCTTTACTGTGTGGGAACAGGCTGTCCAGAGAGGAGGGTGTGGAGTCTCCCTCACTGGAGATATTCCAGAGCCATTGGAGTGCAATCCTGTCCCATATACTCAGGGATGACCCTGCTTGAGCAGGGGGGTAGGACCAGATGATCCACTATGGTCCCTTCCAAGCTGACCCATCCTGTGAACTGTGCTGAGTAATAATGGAAGGTCAGTTCCTTCCAGAGTGCAGCATTTTTTGGAGACACTGACTTTTAACGTTATGGCAAAATTTAGAATTGGACTGGCACAGGTTTTCAAAAGCAACTGCAGCTGCCTCATCCCTGGAAGTGCTTGAGGCACTTGGATGGGGCTTGGAGCAACTTGGTCTAGTGGAGGGTCTATGGCAAGGGACAGGACAGGATGATCTTTAAGGTCCCTTCCAACCCAAACCATTATAGGATTCCATGATTCTCTAAAGTTGTCTTACAATTTCACTTCTTGTCCCAGAAACTCCTTCCTTCATGAGGCCCCTGGAAGACAGGACAGTGACCCGAGGTGAAACTGCTGTCTTGCAATGCATAGCTGGTGGCAGTCCTGCCCCTCGCCTCAACTGGACCAAGGACGATGGTCCCTTGACAGTCACCGAGCGGCATTTCTTCGCTGCAGCAAATCAGCTCCTCATCATAGTGGATGCAGGACTGGAGGATGCTGGGAAGTACACGTGCATCATGTCCAACACACTGGGCACTGAGCGTGGCCATATTTATCTAAATGTGCTGGCTTCCCCCAACTGTGATTCTTCTCAGAGTGCGATTGTCAATGAGGAGGACGGCTGGACAACAGTCGGGATCGTGATTATCGTTGTCGTGTGTTGTGTGGTGGGAACGTCCTTGGTGTGGGTTATCGTCATCTACCACATGAGAAGGAAGAACGAAGATTACAGCATCACTAACACAGGTTAAGTATAAAATCAACAGTCTCTGGTCCTGTTATTAATCCACAACACCTGAAATTTCTGGATTCATTACAAATGGATAAGATTAATGAACTGAAGATTTCCTTCTAAAATCCCTTCAGGGATTTGTTCAAATTCCTCCATTTCAGAGGTTCTTTTAAATACCAGAAGTGTGCTAATTCTATTCCTTATACACTAGTTTGCCCTACATTGAGGGAAAACAGTAAAGTTGGGAAGTAGATATTAGAATAAACTTAGAATGTTTTCAGGGCCTGGAATAATAGGTGTAAATTTTCTTTCTGGCCATGTCAGCTTTGAACTGGACATCAGGATTTGTAATTACTGAGGCAGAAAAAAGATACCTACATGCGAGTTGAAATTCTGGATATTCATGTTAATGTGGGGAATAGTGCTGGTAATACTTTGAAATATTCACACTGTTTACTGTTGCCAATGTTAATTTTGCTTTGCAGAAGAGATGAACCTACCTGCTGACATTCCCAGCTACCTGTCCTCCCAAGGGACACTGTCTGAGCCTCAGGAAGGCTACAGTAACTTGGAGGCAGGGAGCCATCAGCAGCTGATGCCTCCAGCTGGCAGCTACATGCACAAAGGCACAGATGGTAAGCAAAGTCCTCAGGTATGTTGCCAGTACCTCAGCAGCATGCCAATGCACAGTCTCATCCTCACAGCTTAAGTGTCAAGGTAGATCTTTATCCTGTTTCTTTCCTTTGGCATCTCAAGAGCCCAGGCAGAAGAGGTGGAAATAGATTTTTTTTGGAAGATGACTAGCTTTGCCTCTTATCGTTGGTATAAAATTCCTGTCTGTGCCAGACATCTTGTTGGCTTGTTACAGTCATAATAAGTAAGGGGTTTGCACTATTTCCCCACCTTTTTTGGACAATTTTCTGGATGTTTGTGTCATTGAGCTTACAGAGATGCTTTCTTTGCCATCAAAATGCCAAGGACTCATCACTGGTTATATAGGCTGGCTTGAAAATTAATCCTCAGTGTAAGTTTCTCACACTTGTCCATGATCTCTCCAGCCCAGTCCCACTGCACTAGAGTCTGTATCAGGATGGAGATGAGAAGCAGCTCCTCTAAGTGACCAGATCATCAGCTCTGATGTGTGTGGGCATGCAGGGGCGAGTCAGGTTTGAGATGGATATGGGCAGGTATCCTGGTTTAATCTCAAGGCTGTTTCACCCTGGTGCCCAAGCTGGCTGGACCTGCATGGAACTTTTTTGCCCATGAAATAGGGGAACGTGTCTATGGTTCCCCATGTCAGCTTCAGAAGGGTACTGCTGTGGTGAATTTGGATGGGAGGAATCTGGGGGGTTTCTCATATTACCTCTCAAGCCAAGTACTCTGTTACTCCCTTAACTGTAAAAAGTCCCTTCAATTTGTGTTGCTGTAATAAATGATCATACCAGGACATAAGGCCTGTGGAAATCTGGCATCCTCATTCTTTTTGAGAGCATTTTATTTTTCCATTGTGTTCATCAGGTGGTGCAGCACCGTTAGTGATCTGCTCAGATTGTTATGACAATGCTAACATCTACTCCCGGACCCGAGAGTACTGTCCCTATGCCTTCATCACCGAGGAGGACCCCCTGGATCAAGCACTCCCAAATCTCATGGTGCAGATGCCCAAGGAAACATACACAGTGTGCACCCAGAATGAAACCAGTGCTCTGGGTAGTCTCTTAGCAGACAGAGATGTGCCTGTCTTCTGTACCAACCGTGACAAAAAATGTGATAAGAAAATGTATTCACAGCAGATTATTGGTGAGTGTCCACTTTGGTTTTTGCTGCTTTGTATTCCCTGATAACTTTGGCTTTTGTTATGCTGCCCTTCACTGTTGGCATACAGCTAATCAATCCTTCAAGTGCCAGTAGTTTGTGGAACAACTCACATTTATTAACCACTTGTTCTCCAAATGTCCATGTTGCATCAGCAAACAACAGCTTGCATCCAGTACCTGAGACTGAAGAGGGTGATGTTAAAAAGATGGAATTTCTTAATTTGCAGGTTTAAGTTTGTGGAAAGTGAGCCTTTGCTTATACTTCAAGGATGTTTATTAAGAAAAAGTTGGAACTTCACATAAGAAATTCAAATAGCCTTTCTCTTTGAGCTGGCCTGAAGTTCAAAGAACTCCCTAAACTGGTTGTTTTTCTGTTGACTTTCTTCCAGATCACCTTTTTAAAAATTCACACTGAAGCTCTGTGTGTTCCTGGTTACTGGAAGAGATTGCTGGAAATGGAGAGCATCTAGTAAAATATACGCTCAAAACCAGAGAAAATCAACTCAGAACTATTGTAATTGCTGAGTCACAGAGCTCAAATCTATTTACAATCTGAGCGTGATTGATCTCTGCTCTTTGTGAGCCGTGACAGCACCTGAGGGAACAGCTGGAGCTGTGTCAGGGGTGGTTGGGATTTGGTATCATGAAAAGATTCTTCCTCCAGTGGGTGGCCAGGCACTGAACAGGCTCCCCAGGGAATGGGCATGACCCTAAGGCTGCCAGAGGTCAAAGGATTTTTAGACAATGCTCTCAGACACAGGGTGGAATTTGTTGGAGTGTCTGTGCAGCACCAGGAGGTGGACTCGATGATCGTTGAGGGTCCCTTCCAACTTAGGATATTCCTTGATTCTATGAACTTGCTCCTGTTCATCTTCTAATTTTTCTCCCTCAGAGCCCTTCCAGGTTCCTCTGTGGGGAGGCAGCAAAGACCTGGCTTGCTCTCACCCGCAATTCCTGCACCACCCATTGGCCCACGAGCCCCCACAGCCACTCCGGAGCGACGGTATCGCCAACAGTGACCGGGACCAGGCATCACCCAGACCCTGCCACAAGCTACGGGAGGAGAATTTTGATTTTAGCAGGACACAGAACATTCATGACCACAGTGAAACCACATAAAATGCTCACGAAGCCTTGTAAGCAAATCCAGATTGACTATTTACTACCTCAGGACTAACCCCAAAGCCAAAGATGCTCATGTATGTGTCTGCAGCAGTCAGACTCTCTTGGAGGAGGTGGCACATGCCCTTTTTTCTGCAATTTCTCCATTGGAAAATGGGAATGTGCACCAGAGAACACGTGGATAATTAGTGCCATCTACAAAAATAGCATTAAAACACGGATTGTGTGGTGCTGGAAGCAGCCTTTGTGGTGTGCATGCTTTGGAAAGCTCTCAAGAACATGTGTAGCTATTTCACAGTGCTTCGTCTGCTTGGAAACAAACCATCAGGGCCTCCTCATGGAATTCCCACGGAACTGTAAGCATAAAACTCTTGGCCAGCTTTTCCTTCCTTAGACTGTTGGCAGGTCTCTGTGGCCAGTCTAAATTTAGGGCTTGTTTTCTTCTATGAATAATAGGCTCTAGTTGTAAATAAATTCATGTTTATAAATATTTTGTATACATTAAGCATATAAATGTGTTGGCTGTAATGTAAATTATTTTTTATTATGCCAAAGTATGTATCATACTGTTAGTCTTGACAGCTGCATATCAAGCCATATGGGGGGCCTAGGGGGACCAAAAGCTTGTTTGTGAGGGAATAGAGCTGTCTTCATTTTGAAAAGAAGTGCATTTACTTATAGATATGTGGTAGAATTTTGTGATAGTGATGAATTTCATTGTTACCTACAACTGTGTACCTGGCTGACCTGGCTGCAAGCTGATCCATTTCATGATATTAGCAGAATTTCAAGGTTTATCTAAGCTTTTATCTATAAAAAACCCCTTCGTATTGTGTCTGTTGAGAGGGTCTCCATATGTTTCCTAGCTGACAGTTAAGTGAACTTTTTAAAAGAATGTGGTGATGAAAAGCATGAGGTAAAATGAGAGAGCACTTGATAAATACTTCTGCATAGCCAAAGGCATATGGAGTTTAAAACACTGGTCCTTTTCTGTTGTAAAATACCAGGCTTAAATTGTTGAACTAACTGTTCCTTTAAACCTTAATGTGGTCAAAATATTTAAATATTTGACAGGTGAGAAATGATACAATGCAGGGAACCCCTCGCTATGGAAAAATCTTGCTGAGACAGAGGAAGCTCAGACTTGATAGTTCCAGTGAGATGTGCCTGACAAAATGAGGAAGAACAATGACATATAAAGACTTCCTGAAAAGTTCCTCTTTTGGAAAATGCTCTTTTTTGTAGAAGGTGTTAAAAGACTCTTCTGGAATGGGTTTTCAGCAGGTACATTGTGCTCTATGGTCATGCCTTTAGTGTGAGGTGCTTCCTTCCTGGTCACTGCTGCCTGCTCTGGAGCTGTAGGATTTGTACCAAAATAAAACCATCTGTGTGATATTTTTAGAAAGACAGAAAACCTTTTGGCCCAGCTCAGTTCTAGGTATGTGAGAATTCCCATTAATCCATTCCTGGACTGAAGGGTTTGTGACTTAATTGTCAGGTCTGGTCGTGAATCACAGCTGAACTTAGACACTGTGGTGAAGGATTCTGAGTAAATGAGTGGGGAAACACTGGAATAATGATGTTTTTCCCGTGGCTCTTCGGACAGGAATAATAGTCAAATCTTTGCAAATGAGTAAATATTTTCAAGGGCTCTTCCCATGCTCTCAAAGCCAGCGTGGCTGCTTTGGTAGACAGCAGCTTAGTGGGAAGGAGATCAAATTGTCCTTGGCCTTTGGGTAAAATAGAGAGAAACATAGGTGTGTAAATTTTTGCATTCTGACAGGTGAAATGTTTAAAAAAAAAAAAAGAGAATCTTAAGTTCATTTCTTTCTGTTTTTATTTCCTCCAGACTTTTCCTTCCCATACAGCATTTAAGGCACAGTGCTTATTCTGAATCCAAAGTGATCCCTGCTGCAGGGACCCAGCACTGTCAGTTTAAATCCAGATGAAAAAGGTCATGCCATGAAACTACTGCAGCAGCAGCAAAGCCTTATCCTTTTGGGCTGCTCTCTCAGCCAGTCACTCAAGCTACTGGGACAGGTCGCTGCTGGCATGTGTGATTCCCAGGAGTGGAAGAACTGCTGCTGCTGCTCTCTCATCACCATTTGGCAAATTCTGGTTCCTATATCTTTCATTCCTCTCTCTCTCTGTAGGAGCTAAACTTACACAGATCTGTCATGGTGCAGCTGGCATTGTTCAGACGCTGGGAGTACTTGGGGTGCAACTCCCTGGAGCAAGGGAATTCCCTTTAGGTAGATGAGAGCTGCTTGGCCCAGGCCAGAGCTTTGAAATCACTGCTGTCTGCACCAGGACTGTGCTGGCTGTCAGAGAGTGCAGCTAAAGCTGCTCTGATTTCTGGGAGAGAGTAGCCTATAAAAGCTGAATCCTGAATTAAGACATTTACATCCTTCCATGAGCATTTAAACTCCATAAGCTGGTTGTAAATAGCGGATGCTTGTAAGAAGGTGCCACTTTGCTGCACTGTGGAAAAACTTATTTGGTAGACTTGGAGGAGAAAATCATGTGCATCTTCTTTCTCCTTTGCAGAGGCGATAGAGTGGCCTTTCTTTTTTCAGTAAAAACAAGCAATTGACCCAGTCAGTGCCAAAGCACTACCAGTACAGGAACTGAGGGGTCAGAAGCAGCAAGAGCAAAGCTGCTTCTGTTCCCTCTTGCTATTTCTATTGTCTATTTATATTTTTTTCACATCAGAATGTATATTTTGTATAGCATATGTAATATATGTTTGTCCATTGTAACATATGTCCAAACAATAAAATGCTGTATACATTGAGCATTCAGTGTAACTCTGTTAGTTTGCAAGTCAAATAATTATATTTTGTCCTATGGTATTTAATTTTCATAGGGAAAAAATAAATTTTGCCAACTGGACATGGTCCTGGGACTCTGTGATTTTGACAAGGTGACCTCCAGCGGGTGTTTCCACCTCAGCCATTCTCTGATTCTGTGATTCTCATTTCAGTTTTCCTGCAGGAAGTACCTGTACCCTTCTTAGAAAATAGGAGAGGGGTGGTTCTCCCATGGTAGTGTTGACTCTGGGCCAGGAGCCTTGCAGATTACTGTGCTCCCCGCACTTTTCTCTTGCTTTTTCAGTGCTGCCCTCCTGCAATTTGGTTCCCCTGAAAGGGAGATTTTCTTTCCAGCAATGAAGTGTCAGCACAAGTCGGTGGGAGCATCTCCCAGGTGCCAGCTGCAGGTGATGCTGCGAGCCAAATCCCTCTTGAAAACCAGCATGAACTTTTTATTCCTTTGAATAACTCCCTCTTTCTCACTGCATTCTTCTGCTGATTCATGTTCTGATAATTCATCACCTTTATTCTCCTGTGTGCTGTCCTGTGTTCTTCACTCTTGTACCTGTTCCCAGATCTCAGCACCATCTAGCTTTTCCCAGGTTAACTTGAGCTCCTGCAGGTGCTTCATCCCCTCATCTTTATTTACACCTAGGGAAAGGGCTGCCAAGAGCTGCAGGTGCCTTTTTCCCCCACCCTAGACACCCAGACTTCCAGGTTTGTTCTGGAGAGGGACTTGCCACAAGGGCATGTAGTGACAGGACAAGGGGGAAAGGCCTTAAACTGATGAGGGAAGGCTTAGATTAGATATTAGGAGGAAATTCTTCCCTGTAAGGCCGCTGAGGCCTTGGCTTTCCAGACTTTCCAGAGCAGCCATGGCTGCCCCATCCCTCAAAGTGTCCAAGGCCAGGTTGGGCAGGGCTTAGAGCAACCTGGTCTACTGGAAGGTGTCCCTGCTCATGGGCAGGGGCTGGAATGAGATGAGCTTTTACATCCCTTCCAACATAAAACATTCCATGGTTCTGTCATTTATGAACCCACATTCCTGATAACCAGGGATTCCTCCACCCTCTACCTGGACTAGGCTGGGCAGGGGACAGCAGAGTCACCTGCCACCTCGGGAGGACCACTTTAAATTTATAAACCACATTGGGTTTTTCCATGGAGCTGAAGCATTCAGAGTGTCAAGAGCATTCCCCAAATCCCAGCTTTTTGTGTCCCTTAAGTATTTTCAAGCCACCTCAAGGCCTCAATGATCCTAACCTGCCCCACAATCCTTGATTTATCCAGGAGTTTTGTGGAACCCCACCCCTGTGATCATTTCAACAAGACACTCAGGAAAAACCAGCTACTGGTTTCCCTGGCAAGTTCAGCTCTTCCTAGCATAGTGTGAGAGCCAACAGCTCTTGCAGATAAGATAATGAATAGTTAATGTTCTCAGTTACCCAAGCATATTTAAAAATTAACACAAGTGTGGTGCTGATGAGAGTAAAAAACTGGGTCATCAAAGACAGGGAAAAAACAGAAAACAATTGCATTTACCCTTGGGCTTCACTAATGACTGGGTTTTTATGGAGAATCCTAGTCCTTCCTCTCTTTAATCCCTCAGTGGTTTAATACTGGATGCTTCATTAAAGCACCTTCCCTCTTGCTTGCCAGGTTCTCCTCCTCTCCTCCCCTCCCGCAGGAGTTTGTGGCCCCTTTGGACGCGTCTCCAGACTCAGGTGTGATGGTTGCAGTGGCCAGGCTCATGCTCATGGCACCAGAGTGAAGGAGCTGATGAGCACAGCAGGGTGGGCAGGGGTGTGTGACATGGGAGGTGAGCGGGGGCAGGGGGCTGGGTGACTCCCCGCACTGGGAGCATCCCCATGTGTCCCTGGGGCATCTCCAGGCTCCCACTTGGAAAAGGTATCCCCTCATTTGTGGGTTCACCTTCTGCTAAATTGAGCCCCAAGTCCCTCAGGTCTGGGTTTAGCAAGGGAATAAGCAAATAGCTGGAAGGAGAAGACAGCTTTGGGGGCTTTGGAGTCCAATCCCAAGGCAGCCATGGCTGTCAGCTGCATTGGGAACCCCCTGAACTCCAGATTGCTGTTCCCTACATGTCGGAAGCTGGAAGATACACAGGGTCCTTTTTCAGAATGAACCTGCATATTCATAGGCAGACAGGAGTACAGGGAACAAATAAACTCCAAATCCTAATATTTATGGTTTTGGCCCTGAAGTGGCTTACTGAGAACACTTAAGAGTGGGGATCACCAACCCAGAGAGCGTCAGCTGCCTCCAGCCAGACACTGGCGGCATAGGAGCACCAAGACCCAACAACACAGAGCAGATGATTGCAGAGATCACACAGGGGTGTCTGCTGTTGCAGGTGGTGATGGGCACATGAACATGTTGTGAATGCTCACCTGGGCTTCCCCAGGTGAGAAAAGGGGTGGTTAGCTCCCATTGTGCATTGGAGATGAGATTTCCAGCACCCTTTAGGAGGATAGGTGAGCTTGTGCCCTCTAGGTTATGGACACTGAGGGAGGAAGTGAACGGCCTTCCAGAGACCTGGCACACAGCAGGCCCTGGGCATCCACCCAGTGCTTCTTTCTGTGTCTGACTCAGCTGGTTCTGGCTCTGCTCTGACCTGACCAGGATGGAAATGGGCTGAAACACAGCACAGCAGAGAAGGGACAACCTCAGAGCATGTCCTTGAATCCAAGGACCTTTTCCTATTGTGCCCAGAGGCAACCCTGGCTGGAGCTGCTATTTGGAGGTCAACGGGGTGCTATTAAGGCCACTGTTTATCTCATTTCTCCCAATGAGTTCCCATTTATCTGCGCTGTGAGGCACTCATTGAGTGGTTAATGACAGGCACAGCCACAGGGTCACTCCTGCTCTGCCCTCTCCATCTCCTGGTGATGTTTCAGGATTGACATCAGGATTGATGTCAGGATTTCTCTCACATGAGGCAGAGCTGGGCTGAGGGAAGAGTTAAAGCTTCATGCTAGGAGCTCCGACCAGAGATCAGAGCATCCTCTCTCTTGGATCGGGGCTCTCATTCCAGCTCATCTCTCTTGGCAAACGCAGATCTTCTCTGAACAAGATTCTCTTGCACATAACTTGCACGTAACACAGGATAACTGCCCTGCTCATCACTTGGAAGGTTTGTTTTCACATTAGGTTTAATATATCTTCTGAAGACTTATTCATGTAATTCACCCCAGCAGTTGGAAACATCTCTGCTGTCCTTGCACAGACTTATCACTGATACCATTTTCCTGATGCTGGATGCTGCAGGAGCATCTATTGAGCAGAGTGCTGTGATTTGCCAAAGGGGATTTTGAGATGCAGAAATAAATGAGCCCTGCTCCATTAATAGCTAACAGCCTGCTGAAAGTATCCCTGGCAGCATGTGTGGCTTGGGAAGGGTCTGGCTGAACTCAGTGAGCAACTGTTCTGTAGAACAGGACTGATCCTGTCCTGAAAAGTTTTAATTAAAATAAATGCCCGGGAAAGGACCAACCATTTGTGCTGTTGCTGCCTGAGCCTCATCCCTGCTACTGAAGCAGTGTGTTAGTGCAAGTGACCTACCACTAATGCAGCACCAAATTTGCATTTAAATTAAAAATCATATTTTTAAAATAAAGGTTTCATTAAGTCTGTCTGTCCAGGCATACACATTTTCAAATGCTTCACTGGTTTTTATTGACTGTCGGCAGCTCTAGGAGCCTGGATAATGCAGGATGTGTCCTCTCTCCCTCAGATGCTCCAGCATGGCCAGATCCAGAGAAGTTGTGCTGAGCCTCTGCTTCCAGAGCTGTGGTGGCTGTGTCCAGGCTGTAAAACCTCGGGACACTGCTTCCAACAGTGAGTGGCTCTTGGTGTCCTTCCAAGTGGGGTGTCACTCTTGTATCTGGTATTTTTCCTCCCTGTGTTGGCACTGCCCACAGCTGCAGAGGTCTGCAGCATCTTGGTGGTGCTGGGGCCATGCCAGTGACTTTCTGGAGAGGTTTTCCCTCTGCTACTTCCCAATGCAGCAGCTGCTTGGGCCAGTCAGGCTGCCTGAAGCAGCCTCAATATTCATGAGTGGGTTGTATAATGGGTGTCATAACCCCAGTGACTTACACTAAACCAAGTGCCTGGAGGAAGCGGGAGCATCCAGCCTGAGAGAAATGAGTGTCAGGCTCTGCAGGGGCCTGGCTCCAGACGGGACAGGGGCTTGCACAGTTGTTGGCTCCATGTGGAGGGGAGAACCTCAGAGAGGATGTGTTGTTCCTGTGTGGCTTCATGATGGGGATTACAGGCTTCATGCAGGGTTCCTCCAGTTCCTCACACCAAGCGTCTGCCTGCAGCACCCACTGTGCTGTCAGTCAGACCCTCATTCCAACACTGGGGGATCCCGAAGGTCCTTGGTGAGAGTCAGGGACACCCTCTCTGGAGGAGAAGGTCTGTGTGAGGGGATAGGATGGAAGCATTTCTGGTTAGTGGGAATCCCTCACTTGGCAGAGCCCAATAGCCCATTGGAGCACTCCGGCAGCACTGCCTATCTCTCAGGCAAGTCCTCTCAACCACACTGAAGAGTTGTGGTTCTGGTTCTTGTATTCATGCATTCATGTATTCATGTATTCATGTGGTTCATCACACACAGCCCATATTCAAAAATGGATCAGATCCTCATTCACTGGGAGCTCTCTCTTTTACACCCCCCATTTTTTTAATGTTAAGTATTGAGCCATAACAGACTCTTTATGAGACCCTGTCTGGGCCCTGCCATGCTCTGTATGCTTGACACCAGCATTCCCATGGACTGGAGAGGCGCTGCTTGGCTCCTCTCTGGGGAGGACCTGGGAGCTTTGGCTGTGTTGGGCAGGTTTTTCCATGGCAGCTCCATTGATGGGATTCAAACTTTTTATGACTTACTAAGCAGGGGCTCAAATTACAGGTGGAGGTCACATAAACACCCATAAATGCAGTGCCTTTGTTAAGGGAAAATCAGGCCAGCCTCATCCAGACAGGTCTCTCAGCAGCTTGAGCCCTGCTGTACTGCAGTATCAGCACTGACATGTCTCCCTGCTCCTGGATTTGGGGGGAAAG